AGTTAACGCAAATTTTCTCTGACATGTGTTTTGCCCTAAGTCTTTACCTTTTGTACCATTTGTGACCGTCGTTTGAATTCGAATCTTTCGCAACTCTTTCAGAAGGGAGTATCAGCTCATTAGCCAGTATCCTGAATCCCCAACTGTAGTCAAAGCATACGTATAGCCTGATAAGGTTCCATCACATACCTTCAAAGTATTGCCACAATGGGACCCGGATCTATGTTCTTTCTTCTCACAACTCCGGTCGATCGGAGAAATCCCGGAGAATTGATGTTCCAAGTTATGAAATATAGAGTGGTGAACCATGAAAGTTTTTTTCAGTATCGAATCAGTATCATTTGAAATTAATAGACTGATTTTCTAATTAACTGATTGGTCGGGTTTCCGCCCGCTTTTGTTAGTTTCTCATATCCTGAATTTGTTCAAACGTGGGTGCATTATTTCCTGTAACTCCCCCAGGAGCTCTTGTATGTTTTGATGGCTACAGGTGTAACTCAGTGACCCGCAGCATCTCTGTGAATTGGACCAATTTTCTCCGTAGCCAGGCAGTAGATCTCATCCACCCAGTTAGCAGTAACTATTTCCACATGCCGTACGCCAACATTAGGCTTCAGATTATTCCGTCTATCAAGCAATTTTCTGAGGATATAGCCGCCAATGTTTCGCAGCCGATTCAAGCCACGATAGCAGTTTGGTAAATCAAGGAATCCCAAGAGCCGGCAGACAGTCAGCTGACTCAGAGGTACTGTATTCATCTGATACTCCTGCACTCCTCTTGACATAACTGCTCCAACGATAGCTAGTGGTGTTGTGGTGAATCTAATTAGATCACCTTCTGTACCTAGAAAGTGATCAACTGCAACAGTATTGGTACAAAAATTTTCAAAGTCGTTGTTCACCTCCCGTCAATCGAAGAAGGCGAACGGTCGTCCTAGTCCTAATGGTGCTTCATACAGAAATTGTTGCCATGACGTTCATTCGACGCATTTCAGCTTTTGTAATGCTGAGCGTCATTTTCTCATATTGAAAAAGGATTTGTACAATCTAATCTCCCGCTGTGAAGATAGCAAATCCTAGGACTACTCGTGAAAATTGTGCCTAATCTTGTAGATAAATATGAAATAATGCATTATGCAACACTTACGTCTCCATGACATACTGTCATTTTCCCATTCCAGGCAAAGCTGTCTTACGTGTCAACCCCGTGTCTACTCTACCTGCACGTGAGAAACGCACTATATTGGTTGTGGGAATCCCACGATGGTCTACAGAACTACCACCTCAATCGGTTACCGACTGTTCCGAATTGGATGAGGCAGCCCCAGAGCCAAACTCCTCCGAATTGTGTCTAGCCACGTGGCAAATCACTGATTGGTTGCGTGAGGTGTTCTCCGAATTCGGTCAAGTGCTGTACGTTCAACTACCACAGTAAGTTAAAATGTCCTCTCCGTGGTGCCCCACTGCTGAATGCATTTTTTATTCATTTATTTATCAATATTTGTGGTCGTTTCTTACAGTTGATTTCATTGTTCGTTGTCCTGCTCTCTAATCACATCGCACCATGATCGTGCTTGTTCCCAAATAATAGATTGCAATAACGCAATGCTGTCAAAATTTTCTCACAAGGTACGTTTTTGTACTTTTGTGACCTCTGCCCATGGTATCTCATACTAGCGAGCCTTTTACGGTTCCGACTCCAAGTCCCGGGGCTGGAATTATCTGTTTTTATGACTGACTACCAGATCCCGTCTGCTGTTCATCACACAAAGGTGAATAACATCGAAAGATAACTCCGCAAAAGACGTTTGCGTGCAATCAGGGCACCCCGTGGACTGGTTAACCCCAGTTCAGAGGAATTCCGGACTCTATTTGTGATTCTGTTGAGTCGATGTACAAAGCAAGCATGAAGAAGCTGAAGACCAGTGAACACTACATTTCGTCGGTCCTCGTGAATTCGACAGAAAGGCTGAGGAGTCATGCCTAATGCTTCCTCGGTGACGCAGACAGATTCGAAATCTCACCTAAAATGTGTAAGCATTCGTCGTTTGGAATACCCATAGTCTATTTGCATGCAGTCGTTATTCAATATGATTCCTCTTTCCCGCAAACCTTTGAGCAAAAACTTACTCACATTCTATTACCTGCATAGCGTAGTGAATTTCCTTGTCTCAAAGTTTACTACTGACGACAGAAATGATGCGGCCGAAGAGTATTCTGATTTTGTTTCTCTCCTTCAGCTTGACTTTTTGGGTCAAGATGAGCACTATATACCCTAAGTTTGAATGATCTAGACTACCTCGGTTTGAGATGTGTTCATGTTGTTGTACTGACGAAATCGCCGTCAATCCTATACAGGATGATTTGCATCATGATCCCTTGAAACTTTTCTCCTTCCAAATATGAATCACTTTTCATAATCTGATCGATTTGGCGTCAATGCTATGTATGGCCTTCTACATGGTTACACTTATCTTTTATTCACGTTTTCTCACCATACCGGTTGCTCCCCCTGCCGTTCATCCCACCGTGATGCGTGACGAAAAAGATCCAAATTGCATTCACATCGACCTCCCTCTCCACCAACCGATCACCTGTTCATCGTACAAACTAGCGTCATTCAGACGTTACCTCGTTTCATTCGGGGTCGATGTTATCCCTCCCTTATTCGAATAACATTCACCACGACGATGACGAGAAATTCGGGAAAAGGGTGTGGCGTTCGTGCACACCTGTGATAAAGTTGTCTATACCTAGAATAGTTTAATCCGGAATCCATTTTATTCTATGCGAGGTGTTTCCACGCAGTGTTTTTCAATCGGCACTTCATTTATTGTTGAACACATAACAATCAATTCAGACAAACGACATTCTTGGTAATCCTAGGCTCGTCCAGATAACCATACACTCGGAAGCACCAGACTCAAGTTCCGCTCTTATTAGAATTTATCAGTAGTGCATATCTACCGTCCCATCCGGTCTTTGGACTACGGACCCGTCCCTTGGAAGGCGTGTGTCTTATCACTGACATCAGCCCACATTGAGGCTGACCAGAGTTACCAATTCATGTTTTATTGTACTGTACTGAAACTTAAGCGAGTTAAATGCACGTTCTCAGTCAATAAGAGACTACTGTCACAACGCTGGTCGAAAAGGGGGGAAAGTGGGACATCAAGCGTTCACAAATGCGAATTAAATACGAAATGCATTAGGAAGCTCAGAACGAACACTCTTCTTGTCAGCCGCTATCCGGACAAAATAGGGTACCAAAGAGTTTCTGTAGGCAGGCATCTGAGATGTTATGAGTTTGTATTTGGAACGGGTGGAGGGATGAGATTTGCATGCACCCTGGTCAATGTGTAAAGGATGGGTGCAACCGGATAGCTTTCTGTCAACAACCTCCAAGCGTTCATCAATATGAGCATCACAGATATCGTCAATCAGAACAGATAACGGAACTTGGATACATGGCTAATCATTGTGAGGCCATACCCCAGCAGCTTGGAATCAGCCTTCATTAAACCAGGGGAAATCACTGGGGAGCATGAAAGGGATGTAGGGAGAACATATTGTTGAACAAAAGCTCCCCTCATCGACAAATCAGGACAAAATTGACGCAATCTTCTTATTTGAAAGGAGAGAACTTTCGGCTTCCGAGCAACCGTTTGGGTACGTGAAAAACAGCGAAGGTTACTTTCAAGTGTGACAACGAAGTACTTCACATGGCTGACTCTGATCATCGACGTCCCCTGAATGTGTACACTTTCGGACGGAGACGCGGAGCGGTGTAAGGTTAAAATACATTCAAAGCGTTTTATCGGGATTACGATTAAGACCGGATAAAAGAGAAATATTTTGCGATATGGGATAGGTTTACTTCATACGGAAACAGAGATGACGATATCATCACCACACTTAAAATGTCGTACAATGAGAGTAATGGGTAAGTCCCTGATATAAATTGTAAAAACGGAGTAATAAAACAGTGCCTTGAAGTACACTCGAACTATTGAGTGACTTAGATCTTAAAATTCCAAATTACTGGATCTAACTAATCCGCCTCATCGCTTTCATGTGGTGTACGAAAGCCTCAGTATGATTGGGATCGGTGTACCGGGTTGTGGTTGAACCCCGCGCAATGCTTTTACAGGTCGAAGCATTCCCAATGGCCTCTGCTGGGGAAGTCCATCTCATTGTCTTCTCTTGGCGGGTTTTCACCAAAACAGAGGACGAAAAGTCAACATTTATGGTTATAACTGGGTTGGTGAACCACTGGCAGTTTAACTTGGAGAGCTGGCTAAAAACCCTGATTCCAAAGAAACCAAAAAGAGATGAAAGAACCACACACTCATGATTAAGGTGGTGGCAATCGACTGTATAAAGCTCAAGTCCACTCTGTTCTTGAATGCTGTTGTCACGTGTGGGGTGGGGCTTCGTCCCCTTCCCTTTCCCTTCTTGATTGTGTTCAACGAGAGGCCATCCGGCCAATCGATGATCCTTGCCTAACATCCAGTCTGCAGTCGCTAGCCCATCGTCGGGTAGTTGTTTCGCTGTCCCTGTTCTATCGTTACTACTTTGCTTTTTGTTCTCCGGAACTTGCCTCGGCAGTCCCTCTTCCTGCAACTTTTACCCGCCCATCCCATACACAGGCATCTAGTCATCCTTATCAGATTTCTGCTCCCAGATGATGTGCCTCTCTACACCAATCTTCTTTTTCCCCGAACTGCCAAACTGTGGAAAGCCCTCGATTTCGTTGTTTTTCTCCCAATTTACAATCTTTCTTTTTAAAAGCAGAATCAATAAACTGGTTCTTGGGGGAATGTTTTTCTACTCTTTCCTTTACAGTATGTTCTTTGTCCATGGGCATTTCCCCATTTACTGTAATTCACGTTGCGTAATAAAAGACTAGTACTTGGAATGTTCACCCGGTGAATGTGGTGGAAGAGGCCAATGATGATACACTCTAAGGGTATCTGAACGAGGACCCGTTGAAAATTCGGCAGACTGAGGGGTAGCTAGACTTGGATCCGGTGGACGGAAGGCATATGTGGGAGGATTCTGCAATAACATTAATTACGGAGAATTGTGAAGTTCGTCGATGAGGTGAAAGGAGACAAGCAATTTCCTTTCCTTTTTCAGCAAGGAAGCCGTACGGAAGGCAATTCGCAGTGGTGGATGCACACTTTGTGAACATACTGCCGGAAAAAATCTGAACACTCAATTGGCCGTGGCCATTATCAGTCCTGTGCAACCTGACCTGCTGAGTATTGCACTGTGAATCTTAATGTGGCGCAGCGTAAACAAAAAAAATGTCACAACATTACTTACGTTATTGAATCAGGCAAATTTTTAATATGAATCGAATTCCTCGGACGGGAAGCTA